CAATTGAAATAGCCTGCATTATTTGATTTGCGAACCAACAAGTTCAACATAGGTAGTTTCAATAATAAATCATGATAATATAACCAGCATGGGAGTTAGAGACATCAAATCACATTCGTCATTTCCATGCAAACCTACCATACACAAATCATGAATGGTATCTTCTTCTTTCTTCTATATCACTAAAGGAACAGTGTGTGTGTGTGTGTGTGTGTGTGTGTGTGTGTGTGTGTGTGTGTGTGTGTGTGTGTGTGTGTGTGTGTGTGTGTGTGGTGTGTGTGTGTGTGGTGTGTGGTGTGTGTGTGTGTATGTGTGTGTGTGTGTGTGTGGTGCGTGCGTGCGTGCGTGCGTGCGTGCGTGCGTGCGTGCGTGCGTGCGTGTGCGTGCGTGCGTGCGTGCGTGCGCGCGCGCGCGCGCGTGTGTGTGTGTGTGTGTGTGTGTGTCTGCTCATTTGAGTTAGATCATCTGCAGGCTAAACGGTCAGGAATTTTTCCATGAAATTTGCACACGACTAAGGCCTGCTTGCGGTGCGTGATAAAGCCGCGTCAAAATTCTGTATTTCGCAAAAAATGAGCGCGTGCTGCGCGAAACACGAGCGCCAAACCCCCACAGTTTTAATACGGGCGACGCCAATTAAGCGATTCCGGCCGACGACCCGACACACTTCGCTTTCCGGAGACGTACCTCGGCAAGCAAGGGTCGCGGCGACATGCAGCTTGCACAGTGCATAGAGCACGGAATGGGCCATCGTAATCTGGTAAGTTTTTTCGCCACGTGACACGTGGCACGTGCACACGTGTTGACAATGTGAAATCGGCCGTTTTTGACGCTGTTTACGTTAACAATTTAAACGTTGTAAACGTTTAACACTTTTAATGTTAACAAGTTACATTAACAATTCAAGCGGCCACATTTTCAGTACCCATGGCGAGTTTGTCGAATGCATCGTTGCGCTGCAAACCGCATTACAAGTTGCAACGGGCCGAGTTTCAAAGCCTAAGCTGAATACAAGCCGCTTACGTCAAAACTATGCGTGATCTAGCGTTGAAAACAACATCGGCGTGTCGACCGATTCGTGTCGGCGGTCGCCGTGGGCGTACAGGCGTGAATTCTGTTTCCTGACATTTAAATTTGATGTGGCTACACTTTCAGTCGCATGGCGAATTTGTGCAACGCACCGTTGCGCTGCAAATTGCAGGACAAGGTACCAGATGTCGGCGCATAATATAACAGCCGCTACCGTCAAAAGTATTCATAATCCGGCGTTTAAAACCACATCGGCGTATTGGTCGACTCATTCGTTATGCCACACTTTTGTTGATCGCATTTTCACCCATGTCGCTCGCAAACGAGCCATGATTAGTGGGTTGCACGGCAGCTTTTTGCGCCGCGACGGAACGGCGCCGCCTGGTGTCTTGGCCGACGCCGAGTTTTTTGTTTCCCGACTTTCACAATTGATGCGGCTACACTTTCAGTCGCATGGCGAATTTGTGCAACGCACCGCTGCGCTGCAAATTGCAGGACAAATTCCCAGATGCCGGCGCGTAATATAGCAGCCGCAGCTGTCAAAAGTACTCATAATCTGGCGTTGAAAACCACATCGGCGTATTGGTCGACCCATTCTCTATGCCACACTTTTATTGATTGCGTTTTCACACATGCCGCTCGCAAATGAGCCAAGATTAGTGGGTTGCACGGCAGCTTTTTGCGCCGCGACGGAACGGCGCAGCCTGGTGTCTCGGCTGACGCCGAATGTTGCTCCAAGGTTAAACGGCCGTCTAATCACGTGATTGGCTGTCTTAATTCATTGCCTCCGACCGATTATGCCATCCCGCACCAAAATCTAGACACCGGTGGGGTTTGCAGCGGCATAGGAATGGCGGTGTACCATGCGAATGGCGCGGTCACACGTCATCACGTGGCATGGGTCTCACTGGTGGATTTTGCTCTCTTCCACGGGTTTGCGCGTTTGTGCCACATCTCGGCACCCATGGCACGAATACACGCGGGATTGGCACACTCCGATGATGAATGGAAAGAGTAAGATGGTGTTTCACTCTTCGATACAATGTTATGCTGTATAATACAACGGCAGTGCCTCATCGTTCAAAAGGCTGGACAGTTGATGGAAGGGGCAAAAATCACCGGCCACACCCCAGGATCATTCGATCATCCATGGATAGGCTTGGCTGTGTTGCAGGAGAGCGCGGCGAAATGCGCTCTCTCCTGCCGGCGGCCGTCAGAGACCGCCAGTACCGTGCGCGGCCTGCGGCCGAGTCTAGACACATAACAAAACAGATTGCTGGTGCATGTATTGCAATAAAACCTACAAACAAAAATGTTAATCTTACTCCTTCTGTATCTCTCACCCAAGGTTCTGGAAAGGCCTTGCCTCCACTTTGAGACGTCTTGAGGGGTTTGCCATGGGGTCCTTCCCCGGGTTGAGCAGCTCATACTTCAGATCACGTACATAATCTCCCAGAGAAAAGTAACGGGAGCAAACTCCAGTGCTTTTGTTGGTAATGATTTTATCCCTCTTAGCAGCCTTGACCCAGCCTTCGGCTGCTTTTTTGTCACTTGATAAAGAGTGAACAATAACATTGGGTGGCCTCAAGCTTTTCTCATCTCCTGTCTTGCAATGGGGAACCGGACAGTATCTTCCCATTTTTCCAAGCTTAACACGTTCAAAATCTGTAAACATATAAGGTGGGTAAGCCCACTGGCATGATTGTAGAGAGCTTTTTAGAGAGATTTTAGAGAGATTCTTACCAATGTTAAAATTCAAAGTTAAGGTATGGTACTGAGAAGTTCAGCAGGAACCCGAAGTTGTCACCTTTTCTTTGTGTTGCATATAGACATTGCCCAGACCTTAGAGCAGGGATCCAAACATTACAGCAACATAAATAGTTCCGAACAATACCCCTGGAACCTGTCACCAGCAAAGGACAGACTGGCAAGGATCATTTCAAAATAATATGCTAAAGGAAATATTCCGTAGTCAGGTCATGGGAGGCGCCCATGCTCCGACACGTAAATAAACATCCCAGTTGTGTTCCTTTCCTATCCGTGCAGCAAATGCGTCTTCACAGACTTCTTCCAGAAAAAGTAAAGAAAGTGTTGGGAGGGTCGTTAAATGAGTTTGTTTCTTTCATAGTTGTTTACGACGCAATTCATTTATGGCATACAACAGTTAGTGAAGCAGCCTCACCAAAACACATCGAGGTGGTTTACCCAAGTTGCGAGTGTTGTTGTTT